ATAGAAGATAGTACACAAAAAAAAAACAGAATTCTTTTGAATTACATTAAAAATAACTCCAGACGAACAAAACTTGCCTTTAAGCATTACTAGAATCTGAAACTGAAAATTTAACAATGTTTCTGGATTAATTTTCTGACACTTCTTACAAAGGGGCATATTATACTAACATGGTTTATTATTCTCTTTAGTTGAAATCTATTTAAGTTTTCCAAGAGGATTTCACAAAGTTAGGACCAATGTGCATTTAAATATATAATTATATGATCTTTACTTGGCTGACATATTCATAGATAAAACTAGGGGTGGCATGGATCGAATACTACCATAATTTTAAGTATTTGCGGTTTGCTTTGTATTTTACGGTATTTAATTTTTCGATTTGCTTTGTTTTGAAAAATTACAGATAATATTTGTGAAAAATTTACCGATATTACGGATATTTCATCCACTTTGTTCAATATAAATATATATATATTTTTTAAACTATACAAGTTTGTTTGCAAAAATATATTTTACATAACAAAGATTAATGAAATTATATGTCGCACAAATTTTTAAAATTAGTTAATTTTAAATAAAACATAAAATTTTAAGAAAATTATAGTTTTATAAAGATTTTATCTTCCTTTCTTAAGTTAATACTTTTATATGTAATTTGATAATTATAATTAATTAAATTATATTAAAATAATAATTATATAAATTATGCATTTAAATTTCTATATTTAATTGTATATATACACTTATTTTTATAAAAATTGGAACGGATCAGATATCCGATTCTAATTTATTAGTATTTGTGATTTACTTCGTTTTTAATGGATATGGGATTTTAATATTTACTTTGCTTCGAAAATTTACGGATATCCAGAATTTTCTAATCAAAATAGTCGATTCAAACTTTATGGATGAAATGTCCAACCCTAGAGAAACTGTTAAGAAGATTTCAAACACCCAAAAAATGATAAAACATAAATGTTTCATTAATGTTTTTAAGGAAACAAATCATAATTGTTTAAACTAGGAAATAAACTAAAACTACATAACCAAAGACACCACATTGTTAATATACAGTCGTCAAGGCAACCAAAACAAATACATCATAAATGTTTCAAATAAACCAAACAGTCTTAAGAAAATGCATTTGTCAATAACACAAATAGTAAATAGTTAGTGATATAACAAGCGTTAGAGCACCTCCAATGGAGATTCTTCCCATTTAAATTTTTTTAAATATGTATTATGTATATATATATATATATATATGTATATATTATATATGTATAAACATTTGTGGAATCCTATAGAAGAATTACCTTTGGAGGTGGTTTTAGGATCACAAACAAAAAGTCCAAAAAATTGAATCAGTTAGTAGTTATGTATCTCTTTGTTTTCTAACTTTTAAGGATATACAAAAATAACTTATGCAATTCACTATGATTCATTTAAATGTTAGATTTTCTTTGACTATGTCGAAGTGAAATAAAATAATAAGAATACATATATATATATATATATATATATATTTACATTTTCTGAATTATTTTTGCTAATTTATATTCTCTAAAAATAGAGAATAATGAAGGTTACTGTCCTTTTAATTCAAACTAAAAATGTTTAGTACAATCTCAGACTATTTATTATTTGTTTGTTCAATTTATAATGATTTAATGCTTCATAAAACTAAATAAATAAATATATAATAGTTTTTACTATAACTTTCCGTCCGTTGGGCGGACCAAAACTCCTAAATGAGTGCATGCTTATCAAGAATTGAATGGTTCTGTCCAGTTTAAGTTTCTATTTTTTCTCAGTTTAGTTTCCTTTCAGTTTGCATCTTTCAGAGTTCTTTCCCTTTCCAAACATTTTATCTATTTAATTTCACCATTTATGAATGGTAATTGCTTATTGTTATGATTTTCAAACCACCCTTGCGCCTCTGATATGTGTTAATTACTCATCTTTAAATATTTAGAAACTGATATCATATAATCATTACTGCACCTATGAATTGTTAAAATTTGTTAGTTTTTTTAACTATTACATATATTACATTGTTCATTACTGATATCAAATAATTTCGTTAGACCCAACCAAAGTTCAACTCCTTAAAACTATTTCCTCAAAAAGAATAATAATGTTATTGGAATGATTATTTATTTTCAACTTTATAAAGGAGGAGTTTAAATGCATATATATACTACTAATACATCACACCTTTTCTGACAATTGGTTACAAGAAAATAAACTCTAACTATTTCATAGAACATTATACAACTTATGCCTACAAGCTTATATATATATATATTTTGATATTGAATTTCAATAGTTCGGAAATTGTATTCCCCAAAACCATCACATAAAATAAAATTAAAATCCAAATAATTGAAATAAAGTAGTTACCCTAAATATAAAAGCTATATACAAAAACAAAACCTATAAGAAGTTTGTATCCATTTTGTCAATTGTGGATCCATTTTTAAGATTACTAGATCCGTTCCCCGGGCTACGTCCGGATAGTTTGTTTAATTATATTTTTTTTAAAAAATTTAAGTATTATATATATATATATATATATCTATATTGAATTGATTATAAAGTAAGTATACAAAATAAACTCTTGTTGTTAACTGGTTTTTCTTAATAATTATAATAGGTTGAAAATTATTGTGTGTTGTGTGTTTTATTTTTCAATGAGGTGATGGTATGAGTTAGGATCTACGTACACGTTAATTATGTTGTTATACTTTAGTTTATGAGTATAGTTTGATCTATGTATGTAATGGTGTCATTTATGTTATATATTATTTATTTGTATGTGTGTATTTAGTACCAAAAATCCTAAATAATATTGGATACAAAAATGGTGTGAAACAAACTAAATCCAAGTACACATGTGTATTTGAATATTAATCGTTTTGATGATTGGATGGATTCTTTGTCTTTGAGTTGCACTCCTGTGGCGTTCATTGTATTAAATTCCATCTTACTTCATGATTTTCCATGAGTTCTTACTCGTCATTTGAAATGTTTGGTGCATTCTATAGACTTGCTGATGTATAATTTAGAAGATAAGCAAAATGATAAGATGTATAAACCTGAATATTGATCTTTAACAAAATCTGATTACACATCCTCACTATGTCCAAAAAACGCCACCTATATTCCTATATATAAGTCGAACTTTGTTTTCTTAATCTTAAAGTATGATAATACTTGTAATTCAGATTTGTTTAGATTAAGTGCAGAGGCAGTGTACATATTAATTTCTATCTTTGCAGTGTTAATGAGGTTATAAACCTGAGAGATAGATTATATATAAAGTGAGGTAATGAGAGACTTAAAACTTGAGAGTATTGACTGCAACTAATACTGAGAAAGAAGACTGCTTAACGACATTCAAGCTAAGACAATATTACTATAGCAAAACATAAAAGTTGTGGTTACAAACGATAGATAGATCATTCATCAGATACTTACCAAAAGATATACATCAACCACATCCATCAAAGTACTAATAAAACCTTCTACTCCCCCTTGGTCCCATTGTGTCATTTGGAAATGAATAGATGGGGATAGCCTTACTGATAGGTTCTCCTAGTAACGACTGAACCTCATGTTGAAGTGTCAAGAGCGTATAGAAGCTTCAGGCGGTTTTTGATCATTGCATCAGAATCTGGACCTGGTAGCCAATTTAATTCACAAATGCGGTACAGAGTCTGCAAGGTGTCATCCATAGCAGTGATGTTAAACCAGTCCACTCAGAGCAATTACCTCCAGTGAGAAACGTAATAGCGTCATTCAAATTAACATATCTCCACCCATATGAGTGTGGAATGGCTGGCGTCATCATCAAACTGTTGATGACTGAAGGGGTGAAGTTGAACAGATGTCCCATAATAAGAGCATGTTTGCTGTGGAAGGGCTTGTTAGAGATGAATTCTTTAACAATCCTAGGACAAAATCTATACACATGCATTACAGTATAGGACCAACCAATACTATCTATAATCCTAAACGCGTCACTTAAAGAAGGATCAGTAGGACCTAGAGAACCTTGAACTACAAATCCACGAAGACGGACGAAACCATAACGTTTGGCGGTTTCATCATTACGATGACGGAGATGGTATCCTCCGATGCTCAGAGTAGTCCTAGAGAACAACCGTCGAGCTCTCTGGACTCGTTCGTCGAAGATTAGGAATGGAACTTATGGCTCAAACATGGTGGATTAGGCTCGATGGGAAGCGTATTGTTTCCTTGCTAGAATGGGAACAGTCTAGACTTTCCCTCGTTAAGAGGAAGACGAAACACCTGAAGATTCAGAATTGAAGAAATAGACACTTGGCAATGGAGTACAACTTCGGTTGAAAATATTGAAGTGTTTCCATATACATTTTGATGTGTTAATTTAGCTTAATGGTGGAGTATCACCTCATATATGTTCCGCATCTGGGTTTGAGTTCACTGTACCACATTTTCAATATTGTTGCTATATGTTTTGTGTGATTCGTAGAGTTTTCGAAGTGTGTTCTTAGCCTAGTTGTAGCGTAGCGCTTGTATGAGTCCCGACTGAGGGTTCGAGCACTCGTAGCAGCAATAGAGTGTTGGTTGATAAACTATCAGCAAGAGACAATTCTTCTTTGGTCTCAGATTGAATTATGTTCACCTATTGAATTACAATATTTTTAATAACCCTGAATTATCATATGAAACGAATCTAATTTTCTACAAAACAAAATCATTAGTTTCATATATATACAGACATGCATTATTGTTTTTAATTAACACTAATTTATTACATAAACATATTTATAATAGATTGTATAACCAACACAGACTATAACCAAGGTTGTTATAATGCTACATAACCAAAATCCAGAATCAGAGAAAACATCGGAAAAATAATCCAGAAACATGGGAAAACAAAGCATAGTGTTAAAAAAAACAGTAGTAAGCCTTCATCAGCCACATCTGGCACGCTTTGCACCGTCTAACTAAATCTCATCAGCACCCCTTTTCACCGGCTCATCTGCATGATCCTCACCTTTATTATCAAGGTCCTCATCAGCGTTCACTCCTAAGTTGCCGTTGGTTTCTGGGGCTTCAAGAGGGAGCACTTTTGTCACTTGTAAGAGAATGGATCATCCCAGTCAGATTGTGGGTTGATACCTTCACAATGAACTTCCAGGTCTAACCAATGGTATCAAATATAGCCTGAGGGACTGGAACTATATGATCCTCTCCTACCCTTTCATTGGCCTAAAATACATTCACACATTCTCAAAATACATCTTCAATTATTTAGCAAGCTTATGTTTATAAATCTCATAAAAATACAGTCTTCTATATACCTGGTGATATGTCTCAGCCAACTCAGAAGCTTTCTTGCCAATCAACTCCTCTTCAGAATCACCAAGAAGAACAAAAACGGCTTGGTCTTTATGATCATAGACAGATATCTTAGAGAGGTACATGTAACAGAGAAACATTAATAACCATACCAGCCAACGAATGCATATATCTAAATATAAAACACTTACTGCGGAACACTAACTATCTCACTCTTCCCACACTTTTTACACATAAGCGTTGTAAGCCCTTTGGTTTCCTTAGTATGGCACACTCCACAACCTATGTAATACCACCCAAAACCGTTCACAAAATCATCAATGGTTTCTGTGCACTCAAACCAAGCAACCTGAGTTTAAAAATTCAATGAGAAACTTTAAATTATGTTAATGAATGTACCAGACTATAAGTATATAATACCTTAGCGGATGCCTGCTTCATATAGGAGAAGAGATCACCCAAAGTCATTTTCTCAGGCTTAGTGACCACCTCTGCATTAACTCTGTTAGCAACATCCTGGTTCGAGTTCATCCTGGAGGAAATAAGTCGAACCAGACATTACAATAGTGGATTAATTCAACTTATATTCCAATACATGAAACCTTGAATCTTACCAACTGAGGTAGTACCGGGTTTATTTGATATCACTATCCATAAATACCCAGGATGGTGCCGTAGAAGACACGAATATGACGCCTATAACAGAACTAATAACATGATACATAAGCAAAGTTACAATATAACGGAATGTAGCAGAATACATATCCAATATCTGTTACACAGATACTGTCTTTCTCAGTGTGCTCTTAATTATTAACATAATTTTGGAATGCTACATAGCTAATGAACCCCAAACTCAATTTAAAAAACCAGTTCTACCATGTTACCAAATTTATACTAACTCAAACATAACCTAATCAGAGATGATCCTAACCCTATTTTAGTTCTTAAAAACAATCAAGAGTTGGTAATACAAACCTCCAAAACGTTCTGGGGTTAAGGTGGTGACCAAGATCACACTTGCAGTGCATCCGGATGCTTTAAACTTTTCACAGAAATCCAAGGCAGCCTTGTCCCAAAGGTACAGCTTCAGAACCGGATCGCTGTAACAACACAAACCCGTGTGATAAGATAAACCATATGTGAATATGGAAGAAGATAGAGGTTAACTTACTCATGTGTTTAAACATGAAGCTCACCTCGTCGGGAAGCAGCTATCCCCACCTCATCAAGCACGAGACTGTCACTGGGAACCTGCCCATTCACAAGCTTGATGTGTCTAAGATAATCTGCAAGAGAAGAAAATCAACCTAAATGTTAATATCTTATAAACCCAGCAACAAAACCTAAACATCTGAGACTGCATGAAAATATCAGCCTAAGCAAACAATCAAGAATATATTCAAACAGGTGATAACATAATATCTAAGATTAACAGAAGCTAATAGTGACATCCGGGTCAGCTACTCGATAAACAGTCTTGCTCTTTGATCCAAAAAAACTTGTTGAGTCAATAAGTGGCACTAGTTTTCATGTGATGCAAATAAGTGTCAATCCTTCCAAGGGGTATGAAGCCCTGGATAGCATTTCCCTGTGTTTGAAAGGAAATAAATTAGAGGAGCTTGAAAACCAAAAACAAATTAAGATATTTAACACGTAATGAAGAACAAAATAAAAATCATGATGGAGCTCACAACAAATGAATTTTCTTTTGTGTTTTGTTGCTCGACGACCAAAACAAAAGCAGTAGCTGAAATCTTTTTAGCCCGCCAACAAGGTTCTCAGTGTATCACCGTCAATATCCAAGCATAATTTCAGCAATCCGACTCATACCTATGTCTAATCTCCATTAACTTTTCTCGATCCGACTCATACCTATGTTTAATCTCCATTAATTTTTCAGATCTTTCCTTTAAACCCGACCCAGATCGGATTGGGGTCGTTTATGTGAGTTTGCGTTGAAACTGAACGAATCTTACCAACTCGTGAGAGTCAAACAAGGCGAAGAAGGTTAGGTCCCCATTGTCTTATAAACCAAAGCAATCTCTTTGGAATCATGTGTCTGAAGAATCTTTCTTGTCTAGTTTAGATTCTAACATTTTCTTCTAAATAGTTAAGCAATAATAGCTTTCCTCGAGGAGTGTAAGGAAGGGGAAGAGAAGCGGAAACGACAGAGACTGAACACAAATGTTTATGAAAAAAAAGTAAAGTGAAACAAGGTGATAACAATGGAGGACGCTGAAGTAGATGAATAAGTAATGTGTCCATGAACTTTTTTATGATTCTACCTTTCATCCCCAAAAACTAAGGAATATGGTTTATTGATGATTTATTATGTATTACGTGTGAGACTTGCATTTGCATATTTCAAAAACATATATGTCTAAGAAGCATCTACATGGACACCACTTTTCCTTATCCACATGGCTTCATTTTCACTAACTATCTAAATAACCATGGTGTAAATAATTTTTTTTTTCCTTTCTTGTCCACGGTAAGCTCAAACCTTACAGATATGTACATATTTTCAGCTCTATCAATATGTACATCGTCCCCATGTATACAAGGCAGGGTATCACATGTACACAGTGCATAGTGTTCACGTGCACATAACCCATTTGTTCACATGTAGCCCTGCGACTTTGGTTTTCCGAAACCAAACCGAACCGTCGGGTTTTGTTTAGCCAAAAACTTTGAAACCTATTCCGAAATTAACCAAATTAAATTTTGGTTCGGTTCGATTATCGGTTAATTTCGGTTTTCAAAATTATTTCCGAAAATAACCAATTTTATTGGTTTTCGGTTAATTCCGGTATAATTTTTTCACAAAAAATTGGATACTTTTGGATATTTTTGGTTATTTCGGTTAAGTTCGGATATTTTCGGTGTTTTCGGTTTAATTCGGTTATTTTCGGATATTTTTGGATATTCTTGGTTTTCTAAATTTTATTTTTTTGAAAATCAAAAAACGAACCGAAACGAACCGAAAATCGAATTAATTTTCAGAATCATACCGAACTAAACCGAACTCAAAACCGAAACAGAACCGAAAACCAAAAATTTTGGTTCGGCTTGGTTTGAACCGTTCGGTTTGGTTTAAAGTCGCAGGCCTATTCACATGTATCAAACTAGTTGTACATCTCCACTATATCATTGCACACTTTTATGTTTAGTGTCAATAAGTTTATTTGTTTACTTTTATTGTTCACGTTAAGACCAAACCATAATTAATATGTACACATTTGCACACCAACCATTTGTTCACATGTATCAAACTAGTTGTACATCTTGATGCAGCAGCATCCTAGAGTTCAACGGCAACTTTCCTTTTTGAGTTTTCCTTTTTACTTATGGCTTTGTGTTTTGCCTTTTCTTATTAGGTTAAGGTTTTTAATGACGGTTTAAGAGTTCTATATCTAGAACTCTCTTATGGATTTTATAAGATATACTTTTGATAATTAATAAAACTAAGCTTTGCTTCAAGCAGAGATGACTCAATGAACCCTCGAAGAGATGCAGATACAAATCACCGTATTAACACAAGTCATGCAAGGTTTGTTAGATCAACGTCCCGCCGCCGCACCTCCAACAACAGCCACCGCACCAACAGCAACAGCCGATGATGAGGAAGAATCTGATCACGACGATGATGCATATCCCTTTGCAATTCTCAACAGAAATCGTCAAAGACTTCAACCATTTCAACCTAACGAACAATGGGAAAAGAGTTTTAAAACAGAAATCGCGGAGTTTAACGGAGGACCAACTGCAGAAGAATTACTTGATTGGATCGCCACAGTCGAAGAGATTTTGGAATTTAAGCACATTCCTCTGATAAGTGTATTCCGGTGCTAGCTATGCGTTTTTTTGTAATAGAGCCGCCGCGTGGTGGACACAACTTAAAGCAACCAGAAACCATTTAAAAAAAAAAGATCACGACATGGGACAAGTTGAAGAAACACCTTCGGAAGACATTCTTACCGTACAACTACGATCATCTCATGTTTCAGAAACTTCACCACCTACGTCAAGGTTCTCGGACCGTTGAGGAATATTCTACCGAATTTTTTTTACTACTCAACAGAATGAAGATCCATGATTCCGAAAGACAAGTAGTGGCTCGTTTCATCGGTGGGTTACGTCAACAAATTCAACATACATTGAATTTATTTAATCCTCTCACCGTCTCTGAAGCTCATCAACAATCACTTACCATCGAGGCTCAAAACCGGTCCAACAATTCTTGGAACACGCCTCGCCAGCGACTAGCAGCTACAACTCCTACGGCAACAACAACAGACACCAAGCTCCCTCCTACAACTGAAACAGCCATTGTCTCAGCAGACCAAGCGCGTCCTGCTCTAACCGGTACTCTTCGTTGCTTCGCTTGCGGTGAAATAGGTCACAGACTCTCGGCGTGTCCATCACGTAATCGTCGAGGACTGCTACTCGACGCCAGAGGACTGTTATTGGACGCTACTGGACATGATGTTGAAATAGAATATCACGACGACACTCAGACACCAGTGTATGATGATTCTCCATAAGAATTGGAAGCAGACACATGAGTTTCCCTTATGCTGCGACGCTCTTGCCTCGCTCCAAAAGCCCAACCCAACTTCCCACAACGAAACAACCTATTCCACTCTCGCTTCACAATCCAAGGAAAAGTATGCAACCTTCTCATTGATTCCGGAAGTAGTGAGAACTTTATCGCCGCAGACGCCGTTAAGAAACTTGCACTTCCCGATGAAAAACACCCTGCTCCTTACAAGCTTGCGTGGTTACAAGAAACGAATGATGTCTTGATCACACGTCAGGCTCTGGTGGCTTTCTCCATCGGCAACGCATATCACGACCAAATTTATTGTGACATTGCGCCTATGGACGCTTGTCATTTACTTCTCGGCCGACCTTGGGAATTTGATCGTCGAGTAATACACGATGGGTTTCTAAACACATATACTTTCAAATTCAAAGATCGTAACTTCACGCTCAAGCCCTCAATCCCACGAGGTCAGTCGCCAACATCTCCGGCAGCAACACCTTCGTCCTCCACACCTGCACCTCTTTTGTTACTTAATAAGAAACCTTTTGAAGCAGCATTACGTACTGAAAGCGTAGTGTTTATCCTCACCATGACGCCTTCATCTTCGGCAATCGTCCCTGACATACAGCCCGAGTTTTCAGACATACTCAATGAATTCTCCGACGTGTTTCCAGATGACTTGCCACCAGGACTACCGCCGCTACGAGACATTCAACACCAGATTGACTTCGTCCCCCCGAGGCCAATTTACCTAACCGATCGCACTACCGAATGAGTCCCTCTGAACACGAGGAGCTTCAAAAACAAGTTGAAGAACTCGTATCAAAAGGCTTCTTGCGCGAAAGCATGAGTCCATGTGCAGTCCCAGCTCTTTTGATTCCAAAAAAAGATGGTTCGTGGCGTATGTGTGTTGATAGACGCGCTATCAACAAAATCACGGTCTGATATCGCTTCCCAATACCTCACCTTGATGATTTACTCGATCAGATAGGAACAGCTCGTATCTTCTCCAAACTCGACTTAAAAAGTGGACCACCAAATCCGCATTCATCAAGGAGATGAGTGGAAGATAGCTTTTAAAACTAGGGAAGGACTTTTTGAATGGATGGTTATGCCGTTTGGTTTATCTAACGCGCCTAGTACTTTTATGCGAGTTATGAATCAAGCTCTTCATCCTTTCATTGGAAAATTTTTTGTTGTCTATTTTGACGACATTTTAATCTTCAGCATGACCTTGGCGGATCATCTCTCACACCTCCGAGATGTCTTACTCATTCTTCGTCGAGACAAGCTCTTTGCAACACGAAAAATGTGCTTTCGGCTCTCCAAAAGTTCAATTCTTGGGCTATATCGTCTCTGCAGCAGGTCTTGCTGTTGATCCAGCTAAAGTCTCTGCGATACAAACTTGGCCCGAACCAAGAACAATATCTGAAGATTGCAGTTTCCATGGCTTAGCGTCTTTCTACCGCCGCTTCGTACCTCACTTCAGTGCTATTATGGAACCTTTAACGAACGGCACTCGAGATGGCTCTTTTGAATGGACACTAGAGGCAACAAAGGCCTTTCAAGCCATTAAAGATAAGTTGAGTTTGGATCCAATATTAGCCCTCCCCGACTTCACTTCTGTCTTTGAGCTTCACTAAGACGCCTCCAAGACAGGAATTGGCGCGGTCCTTAGCCAACATAAGCGGCCTATAGCTTATTTTAGCGAGAAAATTTCTGGTGCCAGGTTTCGTTATGGGACTTATGATATTGAGTTCTACGCGATCGTTCAAGCCATCAAGCATTGGCGACATTACTTGTATCATAAAGAATTTGTTCTCTTCACCGATCACAATGCCTTAAAACACCTCAGCACCCAAGACAAAGTTTCCTCGCACCATGCCTCATGGATAGCATATCTGCAACAATTTACTTTTGTGATCAAACACACTTCCGGTGTTAGTAATCGTGTGGCCGATGCCCTGAGTCGGCGACGCTCATTCCTATCAGTACTTCATGTCTCTGTTCCCGGTTTTAGTATGTTTGCTGATCTATACCCGACTGATCCTTACTTTGGACCTATTTGGACAGCAGTGACAGCAGGATCACCTACTGCTTTTGTGCTACACGATGGTTTTTTGTTCAGACACAACCGCTTGTGCATCCCTTATTGCAGCCTTCGACTTCAACTTATTTCGGAATTACACAACGAGGGCCATATTGGTAGAGATCGTACCTTGTTACTCGTATCATCCTCTTACTTTTGGTCTTCTCTTCATCGCGATGTCACACGATTCGTGGAGAGATGTGTGAAGTTCCAAACTTCGAAAGGCCAAGCTACCAACGCAGGTTTATACCTTCCTTTACCAGTTCCAACTCAACCGTGGACTGATATTAGCATGGATTTTGTGATTGAATTGCCAACAACTCAGAAAAGGTTTTGATTCTATCTTCGTCGTGGTGGATCGATTTTCTAAAATGGTTCACTTCATTCCTTGTAAGCGAACAACGGATGTTGTTCAAGTGGCAACATTGTTTTTTCGGGAGATATATTGCCTTCACGGTTTACCCCTCTCCATTGTCTCTGATCGCGATTCACGTTTCCTTGGCCACTTCTGGAGATCGCTATGGAAGCTACTGGATACAAGTTTGGAGTTCTGCTTACCATCCGCAGACCGATGGACAAACTGAAGTTACAAATCGTTCTTTGGGGAATTTATTACGTTGTTTGGTTGGCACTTCAATCAAGTCGTGGGATTCAAAAATTCCACAAGTGGAGTTTGCACACAATCATGCCGTCAACCGCAGCACATGTTTTAGTCCTTTTCAGGTTATTTATGGAGTTGTTCCACGCGCACCTCCGGATCTTTCTACTTTGCCTGATCGCCGACGACTTCATGGTGGAGCTGAAACTTTTATGGAAGAGCTGGTGAACATTCATACACAGACTACGGCTACTTTAGAGGCTTCTGTCTCCAAGTATAAAGCAGCTGCTGATTCCCATCACCGTCGCCTTGTCTTTCATGAAGGAGATCTCGTATGGGCTGTTCTCACACGTGATCGTATGCCGGCTCATGCATATAATAAATTAAAAGCTAAGAAGATTGGGCCTTTCAAAGTACTTGAGCATATCAATGACAATGCATATCGTCTTCAACATCCGCCCGGTATCACAACTTCGGATGTGTTTAATGTTAAGTATCTCCCACGCTACTTCCCGCCGGACGTGCCTTCTGATTCGCGGTCGAATCCTTCTCACCCTGGGGGACCTGATGCAGCAGCATCCTAGAGTGCAACGGCAACTTTCCTTTTTGAGTTTTCCTTTTTACTTATGGCTTTGTGTTTGGTCTTTTCTTATTAGGTTAAGATTTTTAATGACGGTTTAAGAGTTATATATAAAGAAACTCTCTTATGGATTTTATAAGATAGACTTTTGATAATTAATAAAACTAAGCTTTGCTTTTATAACTTAAAGAGATTTGATTCAATTCGTCTTCTTAAGAAGCCTTGAAAGAGATTTGATTAAATTCATCTACATCAAGAAGCAGGTCTTTAGAGATTTTCAATTGAAATCCCTAGATCGAGCTGATATCGTGTTCTTAACCTCCATCACATCTTTACTATATCATTACACACATATTCTTTACTATATCATTACACACATATATGTTTATAGATTCATACACAATTCACACTTGTCTAGTGACACTGCAGGCATTTGATTTAAACCGCCATTACAGTACATTAGTAAAAGTCCATTGCTTATATAATTTCCTGCAAACAGTATTAAACTTTCCTTAAACCTCAAACACCAAATACCAATAGGTTAAAAAGCTGACAACATAAACTTACGTGGAGGAAGAGGCGGCAATGGACATGATTGATGGAGAGGAAAAATGGGAAAATCTAAATGGCTAAACTGGTGAAAATCTGGAAATGCCAAAGCTCGCCAATGGCTAATAGTAATGGTGAAAATAAGACAATCCTTTTGCCGCTTCCACAGCTACTATGTGGCTCGTCTCCTATTGACGATAGGAGTGATTTACACCATGGTGTAATAAGACAATCATTTTAGCCATTAGGCATGTATTCATACAAAAGCAGGTTTATGTCCTTGTTCGCAAGTATTTGAGAAGTCTCATGATGTGATGGTGGCGGATTCTTCCTACCGATTGGATCTCCGCCGTAAATCCGTAGTTAGTCATCCATGTTCCTCTCAACGGCAAGACCAATTTTCAAAGACACAACAAATGTCTTGATTTCTTTAGTAGAATCATGGGGAAAAAAATATTTTTGGGTTTTGATCTATTTTGATTAACATTGAAGATTCAGAAAAATTAAAATAGCAAAAGAAAGAAGAAAGAAAAGAGGAAAAGAAAAATGAGACTAAAAATGAGATGTAATAAATCATTCAGTTCAGGGATAATAGAGTCTTTTAATCATAATAAAGTGTTTTAGTAGTCTAATAAATTGTCTTACAATGTAATAAGAAACTTGAAAAGTGATTTAGATTGTAAATTTTTCTAACTAATAAACCAAAGACAAGTTACGTTTTGTGAAGGTCAACTTAAGTCATTTCCCATAAAAACTGTCATAGTAACGACAACTGCCTCTGACTGTGAAAAAAAACTCAATACTGACTCTGGATGTAATGACTCTTCAAAAAAATAACATAGAAGAAACCTTTATACCTTTGGTTACTGACAAAAATAAAAATTTGACTGGGAAAACATGATTTATTCGTCGTACTGTAGATTCACCACTAGCGTTGTAAGATAGATATATCCCGTAAAGAATGTTTCGGCAAGCATATCAAGGCCTTGCCTCCAATCCAATTCAAGAAGGGCACATTTTTAAATGAACGATTCTTGAGAACTTTGAAAGCAGTGAAGCGGTTTGTACCATACCTTCCATGCGTTTTTGCATAGCAAGGTCTGGTTAAAATATTTTGTGCCATGAAAACCTAAATATCCCTCCTCATTTTTCATGTTTAGTCTCTTCCAAGTTATACATGATATCTTCCTTCAACTATTTCCGTCTCCACCAAGGCACCAAAACAGATCATGTCACATATATGCTTCTTAGATAAATCATATGACAGTTTAAAAAGATAGAAGCCACTGTATAACAACAACTCTTACATTATACAGCTTTATTAAAACAAACACTTTAAAAAACAATACAAGCAGACCTCCAAAACAAGTAGGCACCATTGTGGGATATCATCTTCCTGATTCGGGGAAGTAAGAAGGACGAGAACTGATCAACCTCTTCCTAGAAAAATCCTCGTACGCTTCTTCTATGAGATCATTGTCGTCCCATTCATCGCGATAGTTTTCAGGGTTAGAGACAAGTCTCTTATAACCACGCTCAACTTGTTGAACTCTCCAAGGTTCAACAAGCAGGCAACCAGATTCTTCTGCTACCCAGTCGAGGTACTTAGACTGCAAGAGAGACTAAGCTTTTCAGAAAAGTCACATGCACACCCAAAGTAACGCTACTAATTTACCAGATACAGTAATGCTTTTGCCTCTTGTAACGCTATGACTATTATTTTATATAGTATTTTAAATATTTTTGAAAAAGTTCACTTGCTGTCAAAAATTATAAAGCTATGACTATTATTTTATATAGTAAAGAAATTTGCAAGAGAAAATAACAGCTTTAAAAGAGACAAAGAATGGTTTGACAAAAAAAAGAAAAAAAAGAGACAAAGAATGAAAATGACATGTAAAATATAGATAATTATAAACTACAAAAGCTTGGTTAAATTGAAAAAAGTTTTGAAAACTATTAAGTACTCTAAAATCTTTAAAGCTTGAATACCAAACGGGCCTGCATATAACTAATGAACATACCCGGTACAATACACAACCGTATCGGCATGAACGGTCTTCCCATTTTTGAAAATAATTGACCCATCCTCACATGCAGTCTCTATCTACAAGGAAAATATTAAACTTTTATCTGTAGTTGGTTTAAGAAGATTTTTCTGAACTTTATAATCCAAAATCACGCTTTGCAAATAACATTGTTAGCTTTTTACCTCAGAATGAATCCATAGATTGTTGGTGGGCACGGAAAGCTTCTCACACGTATTGGCTTCACTCCCTCTGGACGCGATGTGGACTTCTTTGGCGACCTTAGCTACGTCCAGTAGCGGTCCTGGGTAGAAGCATTACAAGCATCTGCTTCCGGCCCTTAAAATAAACTAAAGTTTTCGGCCTTTTTCCTCAAAAGTTTTTATAGCTCAGATGGTTAAATAGTAGGTGTTTATTCTATAGGTAGCAAGTTCAAATCCCACCTAGTGGCCTTTTTTTTGTGGGAAGCTTCCGGTCTTTGTTTTTTTTTAGTTTTTCAGGGCCGGGCCTGGCTACGTCTCTACTAATATCAGCACCGCTCGCAAAATTTCCAATCACCACCACCACCTGCCAGATTATCAACACAAAAAAAAACGCATATCATAAATGAATCTACAGAATTTTACGAATATTTTACGAAAAAAATTATCTGGTGGGTGATTTTGTATATCATAAGTACTTGTTTACAGTAAGGTAAATATAGACATAAGTGAAAAATTATATCATAAGCCGAAAAAATCTGGATGATGTTGGCCGTTCATGAGAATTTTAGGTTCTGCAGTCTGGTTAATTATTTGCCCCCCCCCCCCCCCAAACCATGAGAATTTGAAATGGTGTGGGGAGGCATCAAATTATGAACCTTGTCCACTTATAATAAATACATTACCAACCTTAATTCTTTCGGTTCAGAATTAGCTCCTAACAGTAATATAGTTTTTCATTGTCATAAACCTATGTTTGGTTAACTTGTAATCAGGCACGGCCCTTGATGATGTTTTGGTGGATGATTCTTTGTATATCATAAGTATTTTTTTGTTTTGTATATATATCATAAGTAGTTGTCATATTTGTGAAATGAACCAGGTAAAAAGACATAAGTAAAATTACATAGCCATAAGAATATATTTTATTCTGTTTTCCATAGCTCCTTATAGTAGTATAGTTTATTCAAGGTCATAAACCTATGCTTGCTTAACTTGTAATCAGGCACCCCCTTGATGATGTTTTGGTGGATGATTTTTGTATAACATAAGTAATTTTTTGTATATATATCATGAATAGTTGTCATATTTTTGAAATGGATCAGTTAAAAAAGACATAAGTAAAATTACATAGCCATAAGAATATAATTTAGTCTGTTTCCAAAAGACTTTATTTTATTCTTCCGTAAAAAGCATAGTATGATATGTTTCATTCTTTTGTTGTTATATACTAGGTTAGGATCCGCGTCTAACACAGAGTAAACATTTTATATACAAATTATATCTAGATACTATTGTTTATTTTATTATTTTCTACATATTATGAAATAAATAATAATAAATATATATTCATTAATTGAGAAATCAATAACTATTATGTATATAATAAAATTGGCACGGATATATAAACCAAACAATCATTCTTGTTTATTAACCATAGTTTTTATGGTAAATAAATAAAATATAATAATTTTACCTATTATATATATATGATTAAATTTAAATGATATTAACATAGATATATAATATATTTTAAATATAGATATTTATTAAATGAAGTTCCTAATCAGATGATTTTATGGCTATTATCAAAAGTTTAAACTTTTGATGAAATTTTTAAAATGTGGGGTATTTAAGAGTTTTAGTAATTTATAAGCATATTTAAAACTTCAATGCAAATATCAAATAAAATATTATGTTCTCAATATTTGTTCAATGAAAATATCAAAAATACAACTATGTATTATTTATATGGTATATATTTTAATCTAAATGATATAAATATATATACTAATATAAACACCTATTAAATATGACATCTTATTTAAGTAGTTTTATAATCACTTGTATCTTATTAAAGCAAAAACATTATGGGGAATTTTCATATTTACCACATTTTGCTACTATTATTCATGTTTATATTCATTAAATGGATATTTTCACAAATATCTTCTTCATTAAGAGACAAAAGACTCTTACATTCTTGCTTTATATATATAATTATTTAAAAGACAATAAAAATTATAGTTTCGATTTTTAGGTTTTTAAATTCGAGCTTTTTATATATTTTTGAATTTATTTTTACAATTCTTTTTTTAAGTTATTTTTGAAATTAAAAATTTCTTTTTGGAAGTATTTTTATAAATTGTTTTAGTATTTATATATTTATTAGAATTTTAAATTCCACATTCCAAAATCCTATTCCACCCCTTAACTCTAAACTAAGTCTAGATTAGTTAACGTAGGATTATAAGTGTCATTTTACCTCTTTAAAAATGAGGATAAAAGTGTATAAGGTAAATATGAAAAGTAGTATTAGAAATATGGTATTTTAGGCAAGTTCCCAAAACTTACACCATTAATCATAAAAGTTTATGTGAAATTTTTAATAGTTTAGTAATTTATACTTGTTTAAAAATTAAAATACAACATATACGAAAAATCTATTTTTAATTATATAGTTAATGTAATTTTGTTATTTATTTTAATAACAAACATTTAAACAAAAAAATGATAGAAGATATACAAACTGTTAACAAGTCTTTATTATTAAAAATCATTAATTGCTATATAATATATTTTAATCATATTAGGTAATTCCATGATTTTTATTTAAGAATAAAATGAAGAATAAATTTTGTAAATTAATAAATGATTTTTTGGTTAGTTTAATGAAAATTATGGTTTATAATTAGATAGACTAATTTCTTTTTCTAAAGACACTCAAGAATTTTGATAAAAAAAAATACACTCAAGAATCATTCCTATGAGGACATGTGTCATGATTCAAATGTTGTAATGTTTTTTTTTAATATATACTAGAATTGATCTGTGTTTTTTAACATAGGTTTTGTTTCTTTTTATTTAGTTTACAAAATTGTTGACAAATAGATAAGTTAAGTTATTAGATGATATGTTCAATTATTTAGGATGATGTTACTATTTTATCAAGCCTTTAGCCAAGTAATTGATGTTGCTATCGTATCTGATTTTATTGACAGTAAGCTAAAATGTTAATAATTAGAACTTAACAAAAGTTTTTGTTATACATAGCTAAACTCAACTGTAATCTGATTTGATTGGTACTCATGAATTTGAAAACATTTTTGATTAAAAATATATGGTCCCTATATATGAAACAACTTTTACCGGAAAAAAGAAAGAAACTTAAATGATTGTGTTACAGTTTACAGTTTAGGATTCAACCGGTTATTTATATTTTTAAATGTATTTTCTGGTATATATAGTTTTACTTGAATGGTTGTATTGTATTCTAAATAAGGTATCGTGTCCTAACATATTAATTCTTGTATTGTTAAATATAGAAGAATCAATACATTTTCCAAAAGCTATAATTATCATTTAGTCAATTTACAGGATTCTATTTAACAAATTAGCATAATATAAAAATAAATAAGAAGATTTCAAGATTTTTATATACAGTAGAATCTCTATAAATTAATAATGTTTGGACTATAAAATTTTATTAATTTATAAAGATATTAATTTACAAAAGTTTTCCTATTTAGATTTTTATATTAAGATATATTTATTCTAAGTAAGAAAAATATTTGATTTTAATGTATAGACATTAATTCTTAGTTTTGAAATTTTATATTTTTATTAATTTTATTATATTATTTTGTGTATATAATATATATATATTGCATAGATTTTAAATTTTTAGATATACCATTACTAAATTTCATAAAAAATATATTAAGTGTTAAGAAAATATAAAGATAATTTTATTATAAATATAAAACAAAAAATATAATGATAGATTATTACTTATATAAAATATTTCTATATTTAAATTATTAATTTATAATTTTAATGGGACTATATATTTACATGGCATTTTTGAAAACAATATTAAATTATTATTTTATCTATTTATGTTAAATTTTGAATTGTTCCAAATTGGACCAATAGAATTTATTAATATATAGAGATTATTAATTTATCGAGTATTAATTATAGAGATTCAATAGAGGTGCTAGTGTATGTTTTCTTTGAATCTGAGGGTAAGATATCTTTAGAAAATATGGTCTGTTTGTTATAGAGATATTAGTATAATATTTAAATTCAGAAAATACCTAAAACAATGGAAGGAATAGAACATTTATTATTAGTTAAATAGTTTTACTAAGAGCTTGATTGATAGAATATTAACATAATATTAACATGAATAATATGTTTTTTTTTAGAGTTGCTTTTTATTATTTAATCAATAATTTTTACCAAAGCATTTATGATAGCATCTATAAGATGTATTTGTTTTTAATCCAATGCCCTCATACGAAACTTTTGATCTCATATTAACCTTTTGAGAGAACATTTTCATTTAGAATATATAATAAATTTGAAATCATTAATTAATTTTGTTTAATAATGTCACAAATTATATTAGGATCCAAATATTAAACTTTTATCTTTAAAAGATAGGTTTTATTTGAAAAAAATAAAATTTTATTTTCTTAAAATAAATATTTCTTATTTAAATTTTTAAATAAATTTTCTTTAATAAAAAGAAATTTTGATTTTTATGAAAAACAATTTTAAAATTTTAAATAAGTTTTAATTTTTTTAAAGATTTATTTTCTTTTAAAAATGTATATTATTTTAAAATATAATTTAGAAAAAAAGAATTTTGAAAATATTTTGAAAAAGCATTTTTCCATTTTTATTTATGTTTTTTAGCAAAACAATTTTCTAAAAAAATAGATTTAAATTGTTTGTAAGAATAACATTTTACATTAAAAAAATTACAAAACATTTAATTAAATATAATTTATTATTGGGAATTAAAAATATAAATTTAATATATTATAAATATATTTATATCTATAGTATTTAGAGGTAAATAAATTATATATTAAATACTAATTTTTAAATAGTTTATATATGAATTATGTAGTGTTGTAACTAGTCTACCAATCACTTTATTAATTAGATTAATGAGAGTATGCTATTTTTGTAGCATATTACTTTTATTACATATCGTTACTGTTTTGTTATCAACTGTGACATCTAAAATTTATTTATAATAGATATTTTTTTATATATATCAAACGGTTGATCTATTACTCAAGCAACTTGAGGTGGTCTGAGTAATCAAACCGGAATAGAACAACCAACGTACAGAAGCTTACGATAAAAGGACCTAGCTAGAGAATCAGAATCGCCGTTCTGTAGTCTAGGAACATAAAAAATCTTGAAGTCAGGAAAGCAGATCTTCAGTGTCATCAGTTTTTCCAGTTCCGTTGAAAAACTAGGCCGTGCATGAGGATTCCTGAGCATCTCAATCATCTCCTTACAATCAGTCCCAAAGCTCTGACATGGCGAATGTTGAAGCATGTTCTCCATGCCCACCGCAGTGCTTCCAACTCTGAATACAACGCCACTCGATCAAAATTACGCAATCCCAATAGCTGACTATTTTCAGAAGTATCATTCAACACCCATCCACGTCCACTGAAGGAATCCGATGAAGTCCAAGATCCATCTACCATGCATATGTTACCCAAACTTAAGGCCTGGTCCTCATCTATTCCGTCCTCAAAGGGAAGACGGTATATTCTGCTCATTTGCTTGGAACCATGCTTGGCATTCACTTTCTGCATAGCGCGCTACTTCCAATGAGTCCCTATCAATGCTTCTGAATAGCTTATCGTTCCTAGCCTTCCAAATGTACCAGATTATCCAAGGATAAGGATCCCTGTCTAATTCCGGTTCCACAATTGCATTCTTCCTCCAGAATAGATAGTTCATATCCGCGTACGTGCTTTGTACTGGAAACAGAGCGGGATTGGTGGGCGTAGTTGATAGTGCCCAAACATGTAATGCAAGTTGGAATTCAAATATTGCATTTGTGATCGTTTTCTCGGGTTCCCCACATCGAGGGCAGTGGTTGTCGCATCTCATATGTCTGTAGTTTAAGATGCTCGTAACAGGTACGTGTCCTGTAGTCAACTGCCACATAAGATGGCAAATATTTTGGGGATCCCTGACCTTCCAAGCATGTGCTTGGAGTTTTGTGATACTAGGCTCACATACTTCAGATTCCTCTTCCTTCCTCAAGATATTCCGTGCTACCCAGTATCCAGATTTAACTGTATACTTTCCAGTCCTCGTATAACTCCAGCAGTACGTATCCCGTCGATGCGTGGAGCTAATGGCCATACTCTTGATGAGTGGTATGTCAGCTGCATCAATATAATCTTGAAGTCGCCTATCATCCCAAGTCTTCGTTGTTTAATTAATCAAGTCGTTCACTCGCATATTTGGGTGCAGAACTGGTGCCAATGGGGTTGCTGGTCTTGCATGTATAGTAGGAATCCAAGGATCTTCCCAAGCTTTAACTTCATATCCCGAATGAATTTTTTTTCTAATTCCTAATAATAGCAATTATCTTCCGGCCGATATGCTTGACCACACATATGATGGGCTGCTAGCATTGATTTATAATAGATATAAAGTGACTCTATTTTAATAGAATAGATATGGATATTGAAGGATATGCATATCTATCTTATTAAAACAGAAACATCATTATGAATCTAACATTTATTTTGTAAGTTTTTAAATTAAATACATCTTTATAGTTACATACATAAAATTATTAATATTCATTTATTTATACTAATATCCATGTTTCCAAACAATAAATTTATTTCTTTATACTACTATCTATGTTTCCAAACAATATACTCATTTCTTTATACTATTATCTATGTTCATAACAACACTATCATTAATTTTATGTCCAAACAATACAAAATATTAGATCTCACCATTTTTAATATTTTTCACAATTTTCTTTCAAATTATTTAGATAAATTAAAAAATTCAAATAATATATAAAACAATGAAAATAAACTTACTTTTACTGGTTTAAATATTACATATCAGTTATCCATCGGTTTAATCGGTTATTCTAGGGTTTTAATGATTTTTCAAATATGGATATTTTTAAAAATCAAAATTGAATTATCAGATCACCAAATTAACTGTGGTCCGGGTTAAATTTAAAAATACTGATTTAAAGAAAAAATATTTTAAATACATAAATTCTTTCAAATTACCAAAATATTTGTTAAGTTATTTATACAATTTTCATTATAAAATATATGTGCTAGCAAAGTTAAAATCAAAATTAAGTTTGAATTTGATCTAACCTACAAAATAAAAGTTAAGGCAAAAAATTCTATAAATTTTTATGTTATTTTTAAAACTTTGGATAATTATTAACATCAAAAGTAACTAAACTCTCAACTTATTTTTTTAGTGGAAACAGTTAACTTTGAATTTGCTTTTGCACTTCGAACAAACATACTGAATTAGTGTTTTCAGTGCATAATTACATCTAAATAATATACTATTTGATGTTATAATACAAAAAAAACAGTTTTGATATTGTTCTTTAAACATAAAATCAAATTGGATAAATTTAAAACTATATAAACTATTTAATCTATAATTTTTATTTAATCTATAATTTTTATTTAATAATTTCTAACTTATTCTCTCTATATTATTATTGTAAAAATATATTTTTTGGGTTAGCATAAAGTTTTGCATTGGATATTAAAAAACCTATCATATAAACTATACTTCTTATCTTATCTAACTATGTTATTTTCAGCCTATGTCTGTCTAGTTTTTTTCTTTTTTTTTTGATAATGTCTGTCTAGTTTGCATACATTGAAAAATTATCAGTTGAATAGTCTGTAACTAAAAATAATGATAAGTATCGTTTTATTTTAATTATAAAACTGATAATTTTCAGTAATGAAATAATAATAATAATAATAATAATAATAATAATAATAATAATAGAAAAACAATTAAATAGATAAAAAAGTGTGTGTGATGGGTTATTTTGATTATATAACTGTTTAACTTTTTTTTAAGAAGTTGATATATATATATGTGTATATATATTTTGGACATCCAAATAATAATTCAGGATCGGTCTCGATCAGTCCTAACAACGACCATATATTACGAGTTTACGAGAAAAAATAGAGACCATATATGTGGAGTTTACCTCGTTTTCGAATCGACCAGGAACTCGGTAGTTGTGGCTATGGACCTGCATTCCTGGCCATGAGTTTATCCCTATATATAAATGAAGGCCCTTTCAGAATTTATACAGACAATGCAAAAACTGATAATTATTTTCTTCAGTAGCGATATATGTCAACAATTGTAATCCATAATCCGTTAATTGGTTTGAAAAAGTTTTGTGTAGTGATAACTGATCTCAATTTTTTTGTATATTATCTATAAAAATCTGGTATTAAGAATTATTGAGTTTAATTGTCTCTGCATATACACAATAACTATTTATATTTCAGAAAAGTATAGGAACAAAAATTAACATAGAATTATATAATTAGGAACGTTGATATATAGACAAATATTAAACAAACAGTACACTGATCGAAGGTTGCCCTTTTGTTAAGTTTGTCAGCATTCAAATGCATCATTCTTATGATTGATGTTTAAATTATTTTTTTGTTAAGATTGATGTTTTAAACTCTTAATGAAGCATTTTGCTCTACAATTAAATTATAGAAACATAGGTAGTGAGACATTATTAAAAAATATTAAATTAATTAAATTATAAGAACCAACAATCAGAATAAGGATTTGTGTTTTTAATATGTGTTAAACCTTAAAATCAGTCTTCAGGTGCTAGTTTAAAATTAACAAAGTTAAAAAAAAAAATTGTTGAAGGTGTGAAATACTTTTGACCAAAAAGAAAAAAAAAATTGGATGACATGAAAAAGGTGTGAAAACAAACACGCAATCAATGAAATACTAAACCGATCTAGACACCATAAATTTGTTTATGATTCTGATTGGTGACATATACTCATATAGTATTAAAGTTGATTTGCAGTATGTTATGCAATTCGATGTAAGTTGCAAAAAAATTTATGTGAAAAAACTGTAATTTATATAGTAAATTTGCAATAAAAATAAAAGTTACAATTTTATTATAACTTACGACTGGTGATTTTTTTGATGTATAACTTGGAATATATTTTTAATTAGAAATTGTATATATAAACATTTAAAATAATGAAATATTTAGTAAAAGAAAATAAAACATTAACCTATTTTAAAAATAAATAAATAGTAACAAGAAAAATATATTATTTTCGTAAATATGTAGAATATTAATTTTCAAAAAAATCAGTAAATATTATTTTTAAATTTCTAATGAATAATAATACTGTTTATTCTAATATCAACAAAAATAAATGAAATAATAATAGCACGACATAGTTTTAAAAATCCAATAGTAACGATTTTTTTTATAAATGTTCATTCCATCGTTTGAATAATTCAAAAAAACAGGAATAAGAAAGATTATAAATTTTTGACTACACAAATTAAGACTGAATAATAATTTAAAACAAAAATAAAATTAGATATTGCTATATGTGTGAAATTAGAGCCACAAATAACATTATAAAAACTACAAAGCAAAAGAAAAAAAAACCCACAATCGTCACCTAGTCACACGAATGTTTTGTAGTTTTGTTATTTTCAATTTCTTTTTGTAGACAGAAAATCAATTTAAATAGTAACTCAATTTCTAAAACATACAATTTTTCTTGATGTTGCATTTTGATTTGAGTTAACAATTTTATAAAAAAAAATGTAAGACAAAATTATAACTCAAGTACAACACATGATAAATCAAACTTAAAATCATAAAAACAAATTTACTGCATGAGTTGTAACATTTTCGAGTTATCAATGAGTTAGCAAAATAGGAATAATAGCTAAAAGAATTTTACGTGGGGGTTTTGTACCAATTCTTTCACCACAACTTGGTTTCTTTTCATGTCGGAAGCATTAAGTTACGACCATACAGCAACAGGTTGACAAAAGAAGATACCAAAAAAAAAACAGAAAGGCAAAAAGTAACCATAAAAAAATCACTTGCAAACCTATAAAAGCAAATAGAAATGAATCTTTACATTTGATCCCAAAATAAAAAAGAATATTTACCAGGAATAGTAGCAACGTAAGGTTCGGTGTAGTGCCCACTGCAAACAACGACGGCGTCAAAGATCTCATCGTTAGAAAGTTTGCCAGAGGTTTTCGATCGGACCTTCCATTTCCCATCAACAGGCTCCACCCGGACCACCTCGGTCTCAAACCGGACCATCTCCTCTATTTTAAACTCTCTAGCAAAGTCTTGAAGATACGCAAGAACTTCCCTATGGCTCGGATACCTTCTCGAGTCTCTTGACAAATCATCTTCACGTGGCACGAACGGATAATCCCTGAAACCCATACACTCTCTCGGGAGGTTGGTTCGGAGAGACTCGTAGACACTCGAGTGGACTATGAGTCGGTTCGGATCGAGACTAAGCGGGTCGGATTCAGCCTTAGGTGAGTAAATCCAGAGACCTCCCACTTGTTTCTCCCGTTCAAAAACCACGACGGTGTGACCTTCACGATGGAGCTCTCTGGCTGCTATTAAACCGGATGCTCCGGCTCCGATCACAGCCACCTGTTTCGAACTGATTGGGTTTTGAGCTGGTGCCATTCGTTAAGTTTTAGTGATATGTTTTTTCTCTTATCAAATTGTTGGAATTGAAAACAGAAAAGGTTGTCTTTGTCCACTGCGGCTAAGGGAATGGGTTTATATAGAACTGGAATATGAATATAAATACTTTTTTATTCGATTGTGGGACGAGTTTCATAATCTTTTTAGACCAATGACAAAACCAGTTGTTTAAATATCATCTATTTAACTGTTGAGACTGGAACTTGACATTTCTACCTTTAGAGAATACGGTTTTACCAGTAGAACTACCAACTCCAAATATTATAAATACTTTTTCTTTATCAAGAAAACATAAACTTTAATTTGGCGCCTAAAGCTGGTTACGTCTGGGCCGGCACTGTATGTAGGGACTAGTTTGCGATGTATTCGTTTGATATGTTTGTACATATGATCAATGTTTAGTTTGTGAGCTATTTCGTCGGAGTCAATCAAACATATATTCGTAGACCATGCTAAGGTGTTAGTGTTTCCTTTAAGAAAATACTAGATCATAACCCGCTCGACTGGGCGGGTCTTTGTTTTTAAGGTATATATAAATATTTTAAAAATTACAATCTTACGGTTCCAATTTTACTAAGTAATAGTATACTGTTTAAACATTGTATTTCATCACTGAATTGTGTAACAGGACGTCGGTAAAATGTTGTGACCCGTAAATATTTTAGTAATATTTTATAAAGTTTTTTTGACTAAATTTGG